CTATCTATCTATCTATCTATCTATATATATATATATATATATATATATATATATATATATATATATATATATATATATAATATTTTTTGTTTAAAAATATGATTCCTTCGACATAAAAAATTATAATAAAGCTCTACTTCTGTATGGAGCACTGTCTTCTTAAAATAAAAAAAACAAAATACTAGAACTCCAGATTATGCACCCAAATATTTTTTTTTGCATATATATATATATATATATATATATATATATATATATATATATATATATATATATAAATATATAAAAAAAACTAATATTCCATGGTTATAATTACAAAATCCATACAAAATCGAAAAACCACAATTAAAATTGACCACTGATAATCAAAATTCAAAGAAACTGAATTCAAATTGACCACTGATATTATTAATATCTATCCATCTATCTATCTATCTATCTATACATACATATATATATATATATATATATATATATATATATATATATATATATATATATATATATATATATATATATGAGTGTGTGTGTGTGTGTCTGTGTGTATTCATTCCGCAGTGTAAACTACTTGTCACATCGTTTTTCAAGTTAATCTAACCTCCGAAAAAACAAAGGTAAATAAACGAAAAAAAATAGAAAAACATGAAACACGTGATATTTGATATTGAAAATTCATTTTCGGCGAAATGTTTTGGGTTGAGAAATTTTCGGGTAAAAAAATTTCCAGCACACTTTCGTAAAATTTGTTTTAACCAGCAGAAAGTGATCCACCCATATATCTTCGCATAAATATGCAATTAAATACGTAATTTCCAATAAGCTGATCGCTAACGCAGGCTCATTACTTATCCGAAAATGAACAGGAAAGTAGAATTTGTAATTTATCGAATTTGGAACTAGAAGCAGACTTAAAATGCCTCGACTAAACAAAATGCTCCCTCTAAAAGCAAAAAAAAAAAAAATTAATAATAATAATAATAATAATAATAATGATAATAAAGATAATAAAATCTTGCAGAGAAAATCGAGATGTAACCACACGAACAAGCAAATGAACGAAAGAATGGATAAACGAACGAATAAACGAATGAACGAATGAAGGAGAGACTAAATTAATAAAACAGAGGAAGAATGATGGAATAAGTGAATGAAGGAACGAACGAATCCGAAGAACTTGCTGCGGAGTGCATTGTTATCTTCTGCCGCCTACGCTTCGGCGCGGATTCAAAATTATTTTTTCGTTCCGTTGATATAAAATCTGATGACATTATTTCATTTATATATATGAGAATGATTTTCTTTTTGATTTAAAATTTCCAGAAATCAAGTCTGCAAAGAAACGAGAAATTGAAAAGCTACGACAATAATTTATTTTTGGTCAAGGAAAGCACAGGAAGAAATAGATATTTCCCAAGTGGAATTGGTCAGGTGCCAAATGGCAAATTATCTATGCCTAACTAGTAAGGAAAACGGCTCGAAACGAAATGAGGCTTGTTGATTGATAGGTAAAGAGATATATGCTAAAAGATTCAGATCGATGTACAGATAAAAAGACTAAAGTAGACCAATATCTATGAGTGTTATTTATATATATATATATATATATATATATATATATACACAAACACACATATATACATATACATACATGTATATATATATATATATATATATATATATATATATATATACATAGATATATATATGCACACACACAAAACACATATAAATATAGATACATGTATATATACATATATATATATATATATACACACAAACACATATATACACTATGTATAAATATATATATATATATATATATATATATATATATATATATATATATATATATATGTTATATGTGTGCGTTTGCATGAATTGGAAACAAATATAGATGAACATCATGTGTGCTTGAAACGAGTGGCTAGCTACCATTATATATATATATATATATATATATATATATATATATATATATATATATATATATATATATATATATAAATTTAAATTCTTTTTTATAAGTTATTTTATAGGTACAAATATTTAAGTAAACTATGTGTTTATAATAAACAGTATTAACAACATTTATGAAAGTCCGAGAAATCTCAGAAAATATGTCTTCTGACAGGAATCGAAACCTCATATTACACTGAACTGACATACAGCCTAAAGTGCTTTACCATTTAGTTATAGAGGAACCATCTGGTTAGCAATGTCAAATTACGGATTTTGAACCAAACGCTGACGTGGGTATAGCACATCAGATTATATGACGTTACTTTTAGGATACAGGTTCGATTCCTGTTGGAGGAAATATATTTTCAATGAAATTTCTCGGATTTTTAGGCCGATAAATATTGTTAATAATGTTTATTATCAACACAGCATTTACTTAAATATTTCTATTTATAAAAATATCTCATGAGCAAAAAATATATGAAAATAAATTCATAATATAAACATTTATATCCAGACAAGGATGCATGCATATATATATATATATATATATATGGTGGCTCAGTACTTTCAGAACAGGTTTAATATTTTGCTAACTGGTTCGAATTTCATTTTGTTCAAATCAAGCAACTGAAAAGCCATGTTGTAATTATCGACTTAATGGCATCGCATCGTAGTTTCTTGATTGCCTGCTTAAAAAGAAATATGCATGAGAAATAGATAACTATATATATATATATATATATATATATATATATATATATATATATATATATATATATATATATATATATATATATATATATAAAAGCAATATTGAAAACGAACGATTTAATAACTTGGCCATGTACCTACATATACATAAAACCTAGAGAGCTCAACAGATTTCTGGAAGCACATATAGTCTGTTCCACAGTATTTAATAATGGCATTGAAGATTTTTTAAAGTTACCATATTTGTGTAACGCTTCGCCAGATAGATTCCTTGTAACGACAATAATCTAAGCGCCGAAAAGGAAAAAAGTAAACCAGGCTTTTAAATTTTATTTGTTGTTAGTAATAAATATATTTTAGTCATGTCTCCTTGTTTACTTTCTGAAGAAGTATTTTATAAATATGCTATATATATATATATATATATATATATATATATATATATATATATATATATATATATATATATATATATATATATATATATATATATATATATATATATATATATATATATATATATATATATATATATATATATATATATATATATATATATATAATTAGTTATTTAAAAGGACCCTCGTTTTTGTCTACTATAAAGATGTCTATATATATATATATATATATATATATATATATATATATATATATATATATATATATATATATATATATTCAAATTTCATTATAATGGACACTCGTTCTCAACAGTATAACGCTTATGTACATATATATACTAATAGCTACTTAGATTGGCAGAAGGTCAAATCATCATAAGATAGATAGATAGATAATTAGCAGGTATACACCAAGAAAGATAAATACGAGAATTCATAATTCATAAATATAAGACTGACACACACAGATATCTATCTATCTATCTCTCTTTCTCTCTATCTCTCTCCCTCCCTCCTCTCTCTCTCTCTCTATATATATATATATATATATATATATATATATAATGAGCATGAGAATATAGGTATATAAAGAGATATGAACAGATTAATATTGACATAGATATTTTATATATACCGTTAGATTTGAACAGATTCATAGACTAATATTAATAATACTAATAATCTTATTACATACACACACACACACACATATATATATATATATAGATAGATAGATAGATAGATAGAGAGAGATAGAGAGAGAGTGCGATGGGTAAATTGTCGCGATTCCATGTTTTATTTCGTGGGTGCGCGTTGTTTTTTTTTTGATTTTGTCAACAGCATAGGAGATTTAGTTTGTCACCGTCTGTGAGAAAAAAAGAGCACCATGACGCAATTCATTCCGCCAGAAATTTGGAAAAAGTTTGGCGGTCCTGCTTGGCATCGCAATGGAAGCTCCAATACGAACATTTCAGTGTGTCTGAAAGTCAATCAGAGGATAGTTCAGATATTTAGAAAGAATTGGATGATATATCCTGTCAACATCATGGTGTTTCGGGTGATCCCTAGTGATGGGGACGTTATGCCTACATTTATCTTGTCACCGGCCCTCAGGCTCAACACGGTCCTACATCATGTGCCTTGAGGATGTATACTGCCATCGGTCAAGAGGCTGGCTGTTGGAAGACCCTATGCCTGTCAACAGAAATCTGCACCATCCCACACAAGCAAGAGTACCCAGTCATGGCTGTCAGACAATTTCTCCGACCACATCACCCCTTACCACCTAACTCCCAGGACTGCAACACTCTTGATTATTATGAGTGGAACGCAGTTGAGTTAGAGACCAACAAAACTCCTTGTAACACCAAAGATGAACAGAAAGCAAGGATTATAGCAGTTTCATGAAATTTAAAAAAAAAGACCGTCCAGAAAAGATCCAGGAGATTCCGAACTCTTCTGGAAGCTTTTGTCGAGCCAATGGCGACTTTTACTGAATACATTTACTCTTTAGTATTTCAAGATATTTTTGTGTAATTTTGATAAATATATCTGTTAAAATGAGATGTCAGTGTTATTTTCATTTCCGTGTAATTTAAACGATAATATATTCATCACACCCTATATATATATATATATATATATATATATATATATATATATATATATATATAGCTATGTAGTTATAAAATAATTTAGATAGATATTAATCATAGGAGTCCAGTCATATTTTCGTTTATCTATAAATATTGATGACAACGCAAATAACTGAGAAATCACTTCGTGTTCGTTTTGCACTGGAACGAAGGTGATGGAGATATTTTTCGATAAATAGATGAGATCTGAATTTGTCTCTGTGTACGATGTGATCAGAAAATATTATGGCAAAAGTTAAGAGGTGGAAAACTTGACTGCAAATTCACTAACCAGCAGCTCAGAAAAGAGTCTAGCCGCATGGGAATTATAAACATAGATAGATAGATAGATAGATAGATAGATAGATAGATAGATGGGTATGAACAGAATGAGCTTTCTAAAATTGTTGTTTCACTCCCCTCCCCCACAGACAATAAGTTGCACATACAGGGACAAGTTACTGCTTTCATAGAGACAATGAGGTATTATGGGGAATGCAGTAAGAAATGTAGGTAAGAATGCGTTATTTTGGTGAAAGGGATATTGTTTGGGTCAGTGCTTGTGTCTAGCTAAGTTTAATATTAAGGCAGAAGAAAAACCGTCCATTTCTTCATTCTCCATTATTGTTCGTGTGCCACTGTATTGAAACAGAAATAAATATCTATATATCTCATAGATACCTCGATTGCATGGATTTGAATGTACTACTAGATTGGCAACTTGGTCTCATTGTTTTACTGTTGAGATAGCTAGACATAGCAGTAAATTTTTTTCTAATAGTCTCTTTTATCGCACTTCTTGCCTGTTGAAGTCTATTCTGATTTACGTGCCTCCCTGCCATCTTCAACCTTCAAACATTTAAATGAAATGTCAATCGCCATCTTATTTCTTCCTGGATTCTGTTCTGCAATATTCTTTAATCCGCTGTAAATAATTCTCATGCACTTTCACACCCAGAAAGAACTTGAACCTTAAAGTCATTTTCGCGTTGCTTGATGTGAAATGATTAAAAAAAGACATATATAATATACAGGTTAAGATAGATATGCATAGACTGAGATATATATATATATATATATATATATTATAAAAAGGCTTAAACACTAATATTCCATGGTCATAATTTATTCCATTGGAATTGTAAATACGATCCAAATCATCAGACCTTTTGAATTTGTAGGTCTGATGAATTGGATCGTATTTACGAATCCAATGGAATAAATTATGACCATGGAATATTAGTGTTTAAGCCTTTTTATTATATCCTTACTCTGTCCTAGACATTGAGTTCTACCTGGATTCTTCCTCTTGGAAAAATTTTTTCTGAAAATATACATGTCTGGGTATTTTTTTTTTTTATATATATATATATTTTGCATATGTATGTATATTTTCCACTAATATTATCTATCTATCTATCTATTATATCTATATATATATATATATATATATATATATATAGTTGTGCATGTTCATTAAAAACGACTGATTCAATGTATTACGGTTAAGCTTTTTATTTGATTTTTCTTATGTTTGAACAAGAGCATTCTTTTCTGGACAAAGAGTGTGTAAAAACCGTCTATTTTTTTTTATATTTCCGATCGCTTTCGTCTATACCTTTAGCCATTATCAAGGATGATTCGATTTTTCAGCTTAATTGAGTGTGTGCATTATGTGTATGTCTTAGTGTGTTGTAGGGATGTTTAATTTCCGAATACGGTTAGCACATTGTGGCCTTATTCGTAGTTACTATTGTTAAAAGTTGTTTGTTTTTTCTTTTTTTATTATTAAAGCTTCCATTATTTTTAATCTTTTTTTTACAGGTGGATAAACTTAATATATTTGTGTATTTTACTAGTATGTTACTAATGGACTCTGGTAACTTTGTGTGTGTGTTTAAATGGGTTGTATAGCGTCATTAAAGCGTCAGGCGTCTAGCATGAAACAGCATGTCGCAAACAAAAGATTTGTTCGTAGGTCTTGAAGATTGAGAGCTACATTTTAGAGCTCTCATCAAATAAACAAAAATAGCTATGGAATTTTAAGTGTTTGATATTCTTTAATTAATAGTAATTTTGCTCTGACTTTTGACATAGAGCTCTCCTTGGATCGATATCCCCTTGGAACTTCCATACGAATTACCATGTTGTATCATTACCATAACTATATATATATATATATATATATATATATATATATATATATATATACTGTAGTTCACTACTACTAGCAAGCAGAAAATTTTTCTCCTGATGATGGCCATGTTGGCCGAAACTACTCGAGGAATCTAAATGAAATAATAATAAAAACGAAAGAATATTAATATACAACCTAGTGAGTCTGAAGTTTTTACTTTTTAATAGGTTTTATTGTTCAATATATATATATATATATATATATATACACACACAAACACACACACACACATATATATATATATATATATATATATATATATATATACACACACACACAAATATATATATATATATATATATATAGAGAGAGAGAGAGAGAGAGAGACATATCTATTTAGATAGATATTCTCTTGAATAAAATTTTAGTTTTATTAAGATTTCTATAACTGTAGGAGGGTAGGCGACAATAAATAAATATACTGTTTAATAAATAAACAGAGGCCCTTCTCAAATACGATGAGCTATGTCAAATGTTGACTATCTAGAATATTCCCTTTTTGGGTACACACCCAGGTACGGTATTTGAACCTAGGCATTCGGATTCAGCAAGCTCAGTATTATATACTAAATGTACAAAAAAAAAACTCAGTGTAGAGACTGACCGTTAGAGTCACTTATCTTATGGAATATATATATATATATATATATATATATATATAAGGTTAATGGTCTGAGATGATTTGGTCCAGGAAACAGTATTATTAAAATTTAGTGCTTTTAACTTTATGAATTAAGATATCAGGTGATTTCGCTACTATGGTTTCAACCTTACAGTATCCTAAGACGATTTTTAACAATTAATCAACGTTTTATTTAAAAATAAAACAACCAATGGACGCTATATTAGTTTAAAAAATAAACAAACGCACGGCGTTGGGTGTGATAGAAAGTGAGTTGGAGGATGCGTAGAAGGAAGGAGAAATAGTGGGGCGTAGAAAACAAGGTTATTATTATTGTATCGGTGAGGGGTTAATTAAAATGTGCATACTTTTTTAACCAGCCTCATATGAGTTATAATCTATGTAAGTGGGCGAGAACGTTATAACTTAGTGTGAATTGGCGACAGTGTCCAAGATTAATATGTGTCAAGCGGCATCACTCTGAATACATTAGCTCACTTAGCGTATCAATCGTCCCGAGAATATCTCCGTTGTTAGACATCCCATTGCTTCAAGCCTGGATGGAAACTCGACCGATTGGGCATCAGTCAGAGATTCTACCCCTAAGCTATCGACCGGTTCACACTCTTCCTCGGACTTTTGAATAGAAGTTTATCCCTGGTTTCCTGCTTACGACTGTGTTTCCTGTATCATCCAAAGTCTAAACTATATTTCTAATGTCTGCACCTAAAATCTCAAATGATATTTACTGTTTATTTATTTATTTTTCCTCAATATGAGTAGATAGGCTCTCCTAGAGTCTGGTTTACGTACTCTACCACCTGTCTTTTTGTTATGGTGAAACACACCTATTATATAGTTAATAGACTCTCCCACCTATAATAAGTAGTTGTAGTAAGAGTAACGAGTAAGTCAGTCGGTCGGTCGGTCGGTCGGTCAGTCAGTGAGTCAGTCGATGTCGGACGACAGTTAGTTGAATACGAAAGTAGTCAGCGACCACAACAAGATTACTCTGCGTAATACCTATTATATCAAGTTCCTAACGTTTTGTACGTCGAACCTATTTTAGGACCGACTTAGTACAAATACAAGTCCACTGCGGAATAACTCCGCAACACTTTTGAACAGGAGTAGTAATTTATCCCTTGCTTCCTGTTTAAGATTGGATTTCCGGTTTCTTTTAAAGTCTGTTGCATTCTCATTCTCTCCCAGTAACCCAATGCGTCTTAGTAGCATTATCCCCTGCCTTGGGGTGAATTGATTTTAAAAAATACAATATGGAAATTTAAAAAATTCCCAAAGAGAAATCACAAGATTTATAGAATCATTCATTTTTTACGGCTAATATGTTGCAGGTTATTTACGCGTAAATGAATATAACAAACCCGACTGGAATTGGAACACGGCTCCACGTTTAACAATTCCGTGCCATTATCCATTACACCACCCACACATCATAGTGCTCTGCAGGTGTTATTCCCACGTGCTCACCCATCGAGTTAATCCAGGCTCGACGTTGCTTAACTTCAGTAGTCATACGGGAACCGGTGTTTCAAAATGATATAGCCGTAAACCCGGAAAATAACAAAAAAGAGAAATTAATAAGACCAAGCAATTTCCCCGCCAAATGGTTGCGAAAAAAAAAAAAAAAAAAAAAATGACGGAAAAAATTCAAAGACATCAAATAGGCAAAGCAAACGGTAGCAATTGTAAAACCAATTTTCATTGGCTGAATTCCAAACAGAATTAACCTACTATCAGTTTAGGCCAAATTTCTAAAAATTCATATATATATATATATATATATATATATATATATATATATATATATATATATCTGGCAATTTGATCGGGATGTAATCACTCCTATTAGATTCAGTGTTTTTTTTATTTGTTTTTGTTGTTGTTTTTTATCCCGAACTTTCCCATAATTCATCGTTGATTAAACTACTCGGCGCACCACAGAGGTGTTTGATATATTCGAAATTCTGATTACAGTCATGCGTGTCCAAATGCTGTTTCAGTGAATCGATTCTAAAGATATTGATATTCCTGTCGCCATATTTGCTTTCCTATGCTCTTTATTAGCGTCTTGTGTGAAGTTTGCGAATGAAATCCATAATATGCGTCGGTCTTGGTAAGCCTTTACAAGAGGCGGCCGTTCAGAACCTGGTCTACGGATATAGTCTTGCTAATTGCTGAAACTGTTGAGATTTATCGAAGCAACACTGACGGATCTCGATAAATCTTGCACGGTAATTCTTCGAAATGACCTACCCATTTCTCGAAGGTCAACAATATGAAACTTCTGAAACGACTATAATTCTTCTAATTCTAATTTTTATTCAAATTAAGAACGATTCATTTAGTGCAGTGGCACAAAGCCGAAAATACGGCGCATCTATTTAGGATAAAACTCACTATGTCGCAATTTCTGTAGGGAAACAAACTTGATAACCATTACACTAAGATGAAGTGTTGTTTTCAAAATAACAAACTATTTACCCAGTCAAACTTAGCTGAGGTAGACAGGCGAAAGTATGGATCACCCTGTGAGAATCGAACTCGCCGCTCATTCGTAGTTGATCTAACGAGATAATCTGGCTAATGATTGAACTTAGTTGAAGTGTCATATTCGCTACCGCGTTTGATACAAGATCGAGGTTTAAAGTGGCTTTACTGGTAATACCGTGGAAAATTCCTAAAGCTCCCTCGGCACTTGCCATTTAGGAGATGCCTCCAGCGCCGGGTAATGATCCCCGCCACACTGCCGAAAAGGAGGTATAGTCTGGGGGATGCCCCCCCCCCCCAAGGCTTTAGCTAATATTAATTATCTTAGTTAGTGCTGGGGAAGTATTCTAATTGCGAATTATTAAGAATAGCTTTGACGTGACACATGGTCGAAAGAATGGAGCACCAAGTGAAAATCCAATTTACATCTACAGCCTTAATTTGCCTAGCGAGTGAACCTTGTTAACCATTACACCACGTCGATATATAATAGGGAAGTACAGTTGAGGGGAAATATATCAAATGCTGGTTACAAATTTGACATTAAAAATAAAAACATGAAAAGTTACAGGGACGCTTAGCTTTATAAATTTTTTTGTTTTATTTTTGAAATTTTGACAGTAAGTGTATTTAGCTGTACAAACTAACCTAACCGATTTTCTCGGTCGTCCTGGGTAAGAGGTTAAACTACATCCGCGTCCTGGGTAAGACGATAAAATGCATCCAGCTTCAAGGTCTCTGATCAGGAGGTTTTGAGGAGCGTGGCACCATCTCTTGATTGCTGGTGTTCCCAGGTTCACACTGACCAGGGGTGGTAGCACCTGCTAGGGTCCCAGCTATGTGCAAATAGTTAACTATTACCAGCATTCCTTTTTTTGAAAAAATTATTACCAGCAATACAATTTTGAAACAAATATATTACCAGAAATACATTTTTGAAGAAACAAAATATTACCAGCAATAAAAAAAAATGTTGTTGGCATTAAAAGACCCATTGAGGTTGATATGCCGTAAAACAAAATAAACCAAACCAAACCAAAGAATACATATTCTATTCATACGAATCTATCCTAAAAATGTTGTCGGCATTAAATAACCCATTGAGGTTGATATGCCGTAAAGCAAAATAAACCAAACCAATCTAAAGCAAAGAATACATATTCTATTAATAGGAATCTATCCTAAAAATGTTGTCGGCATTAAATAACCCATTGAGGTTGATATACCGTAAAGCAAAATAAACCAAACCAAACCAAACTGACATCATCGGGTTTCTAACGCGTCTGCTTTTTTTTTTTTTTAAATTATCGGTTTTATTTTTAAATAACATACATTGTAACAATTATTTTATTTTGAAGAAATGAAACATGTTGCAGACACCAATTAGGATAAATAAATACCATTGCTCTGAGGATAAAAGTAAAATCGAAAAATATTAGAAGGTAGAATGGTGCCACTTTATGCTAGAGACACCAAACGTCAAAATATATTTAAAATTAAGCGTCTCTGATTCTAAAGTGTTTCTCATAAGATTGTAATAGACGTTTATTCTATTTCTTTTCAAACCATAAGACTGACTTCATGGTTAAAACCATTATAAGTGGGAAGAAGGTCGTTGGAGGGACGGAAGGCATTACCGAGGTGTATTTTGGAATTTGTTCTTCATTTATTTGGAATTGCCCAATCGTCATTTGCCTGTCTTGCTAGAGTTTGTATGCTTCCACGCATCCTTGTGGGTGATGAATTATTTTCCAATTTACAATCTATTTCCCATAAAAACCAAACATTGTAGAACTCCCGTTACTCTGCTATTTCCATGGCATGAGTTTTGACGTGCTACATTCCTTGGTCCCGCAACCCTTGACCTTTACAACTGGGCCCTGACATTCTATGTAGACAAAAGGGAAACCTCCTCATTCCCTTCATTTTTCATTAGTAAAAAAAGCTTTTTCCCAAGTACTACTGTTTTGTGGAACAGACTCCCGGCAGGATGTTTTTCCATTCACTACAATCTTCACCAGTTCTTGAAGACTAGGGTAAACTGTTATCTTTTCCTTTTGTATTCCAAGAGTAAGAAGTATGTTCCGTTCGGACACCTTCTTCCCAAGTAATACTGTCTTGTGGAACAGATGCTCATCTGGATGTTATCCTCATCATAACAATGTTGACCTCTTCAATCTAGAGTTAACCGTTATCCTCCCTGTATAGCTCCATGTATTTCATTCGTTTCTCACGTTCATATAGCACCAGAAAATAACTTGTGTGGCTCTTGAGCCTTGAAATGTGCGCATATTAGTATACAAATTTAAATTGATATTGGAATCAGTGTACAATTTTACATTCACAAACGCTCTATCTCTGATATTGCGCACTTTACCCATAAATATAGCATATATTAAAACTATATTTAAATATAGCATATATTTAAAACGATATATATATTTATATGTGTGTGTGTCTGTGTGTGTGTGTGTGTGTGTGTGTGTGTGCGCGCGCACGAGCAAAGAGCCACTTCATAATTGGTAACAAGTCATTGCAAATAATGGTGAATTTATATAATTGAATAGAATGGGATTTTAATTTATATTTTGAAGAATAAATTTGATAAACAAAAACAGATATTATTTATGGCTCAACATATTCTTTTTTTAACGTTTAAGGCTGAATATGTAACTCATTTATCTTCATTAAGCATGAACCATTAATTTGGACAGGATATAAGTTATAAAAATATATATATATATATATATATATATATATATATATATTATAAGATTTTGTGGTGGATATAACAGTTTTACGTGCACTTTCTTGACAAAATATCAAAGACGAATCTGCAATAATATCGGCCCTGACCTGGCAATTCGGCTTTAATTACTTTCTCACAATCACTCCCCTCTGCCTTTTCTAAAAATATTCTTTACAATTCTTCTGATAAGCTCATAACTTTTGTATCTCGATTTCACAAATTTAAGCGCAGTAACGAATTGGCAGTTAGGTCTCACCAGTGTAATCTCAAATTTAGTTTCTAATGGTTTTCTTCTCTCACACTTATTGCTTGTAATGTTCTCTGCCATATACTTGCGTCGTGTGACTTATGATCTGCAGAAATTTATATGCAACGTCGATCAACTGTTTTCTTGAATAAATATTTTTATCATCATTTTTCAACACAAAAGTGTTTTTTTTTTCATTTTCTTTCATTCTCAGCAACTACTTGTGATTTAGTGGCTTAAAATTAGTGTGTTAGATATGAAACAGTACGAGTTGGTCGGTCAACTGGTATGTCTACTTGCATTTCTATCGTAGTAAGACTATGAACGTTTCAGCCGACACTGTCGCTGGGATAGGTAACCAACTTTACCTATGCATTATATATACTAAGTGGTGTAATGGTTAGCAAGCTTGTCTCTCTGAGTAGTGAGTTCGATTCTCACTGGGTGTCCTATACTTTCGGCCTTGTGCCATATCTGAGCTACGCTTGGAAAATCACTAGGACACCTCGAGACGGTGTAATAGCAAGTTTGTCTCGCTAGAACAATTACGACTTAGCAGTGAATTCGATCCTCGCTGGGTGCCCCCTACTTTTGGCCTTGTGCCACATCTAAGCTACGCTTGGAAAATCAATATATTTAATTTTCGAGTATTTTATTTGAAATTGGCTTGCTCATCACGGTTTGCAGAACTAGACATTACTAAGTTTGCCACCGTCATTGAAACAAAAGGATTATCCAAACACTGGCGTATTAAAGAAAACGGGCGATGCATAATCACATATAAATTCTTTGGATATTTCAAAAGAAATCAATATTTATTATATTCCGAAGTAAGTAGAAAACAAAAAGAGAATTTCGTTTCTAGAGCCGATCGAAAAAATAGATTAATTATAAAAACAATACAGAGTGATTCGTTTATGTGTACATATTTTGTGTTCGTTTGCTCGCCCGCTTATGCAACAGACAGAAATCTACCGTGGAAGCAGCTGTTGGTTTCTATTCAATAATGGTTCCCCCTGCAAAAGGTAGTATTTTGCAAGCTCATTTACAAGATAAACAGGCCGT